GCATGATTCGGTCCAGATTTAGTGGCAAATTGGGAAGGTAAAATAGAAATCCCAAAAAAATAGTTTGAATCAACGCCTTTATAACTACGCTGGTACAAGCATAAATAAAATGAGTCGTAAGTAAAACCAGCAACTCATCTTCGACGGCAGGCAATGCACCAACTACTTACTCAAGCATGTTTTCATCGACTCTAGCACTCTAGCAGCGCATTGGTGACAGTTTGTTTGACCCTATTTGGAGTCGCGATCTCTTGCCCGTGGCAGGAATACAGCGACCCCTCTCGTCTCCAGAAAAGTTTCACTTTCTTTGATATCCTCACTACTCAATACGTGTTGCTGTTAAAAAAGAATACTGGTGTTAAAGGCTGCAAATGAATGTGTTTTCATGCATTTTATTCTATCCTCCTACCTTACGTTAATCTACCTTATTTTTTACTTACATAATACATCATGCCTTTTACCTGTTTTCGTGTCGTCTTTTGGTTCCAATAGAAAACAGCTGTACGTAGCCGTCACCTCAACACCTTTCCCAAACTTGTAATCGCATTCTGTAACAGTACCGTCTTGCACTCATCGCTCCATTTTTCTTCGTTACTCGCTTCTAAATACTACTTGGTCTCATCAATTATAAAATTAATGTTGTGTCCCTTGTAGCCGCTCCTAGTCCTCACGTTCCAACTCCCCACTTTTGCACAACAAAATTTTAATCACATTGGCTGCATGAGGGTCTGCGTATAGGAAAGTGAAGATTACAAAATGGCAACACTGATAATAGAAAGTCAAATTTGCACATGTCCAAGCCTTAAGGTTTTTATTTGAGCAAAACACGTAGACTTTGATGTTCAACCGCAATTAGGCACTCGGTAATACATCAAGACGTCTTGACGTCGAAAGAAGGCACATTATTGGGCAGGGTAGGTGACACCGAGGCTGAGAAGGACTAGCAGTCGCCAGCGTGGTTAAGAGCCAAGCCGCTTCTGTAGGAGTACAATGGAAGATCCCTAAGTGTTCCCCAGTCGAAATGCTGACGAGGAAGTATTTCGTCTCTGCAAGTTAGCTGCCAAAATTTCACCACTTAGTTGGAAAAATTGTGCTGTAGCACTCCCTCCTCGATCTCGTAGTCCTTAATTTCAGACTTCTGAGAAGTAAGACGATTGAATGAAAATGGGAGTACGACTGTGACCTACAGGCTAGTCAAGGAAAACGCCCTCGCACTTCAATTCTACGTCGCTAAAACTGAATTCCTCACTCCTTTTTACAGAGCAATTGGAGAAGGACTGTTTCCTGACATGGTTTCCATGTGATAACCTCATCCCAACAAAAATCACCTCGAAGTACTAACTTATCATTTACTATTTCTTTCACACAATATTCTTCCCCTTTTGTGCGTGCGTGCGTGAGTGCACCATACTTTAGATCAAGTTCTTCAGTATTTGTTTGTCAGGCCTGCTTGTCAAGCTCGTCTCCTGACTGCAAGCTTGACCGGAGCTATTAGCAGCCTCTCGTGTACAGGATCGTATCGGGCTCTGCACTCCATACTTTTCCCTATTGGTGAATAGTAGGTTCACTTAACAGCAACGTACTCACTGTAGCGCTTTATGCAGCATCCGGCAGATGCCTGCGACATAAAGCAGTTGTTCTGGCGTGAACGCCTTCCTTCCCGTATTGCATTGCGCAGTCATAGTGCTTAAGTTCTTCATACTAGTAGTAGATGAGTGGTGGATCCTACTTCATCTTCTTAAACTGTGTTTGAGCTTTATTATCTATACTCATACGATTTGCTTGTATATCAGGTAGTGTTCGAAATGCTTGACGATTATAGAGATGGCAAATAGCTTCCGTCCCATTGACCGCCCACCGTCACTTCGCTTGCATGTGGGTATTTCAAAGAACTCACAATGTATTACAATATCGAATGACCAAATGAATTATCTCAAATCTTGACTCTATTACATTGCAGTTTACCGGAGCTGGCCTTTTATTTGGAATCCTCTTACCATGAAGCGAGTTTTAACGCTAATGCAAAGGCAAAGGAAAGCCCAATGGGCCCTCCTCATGCTCGTCCATCAATGCCCCAGATATTCTCCCTGAATCCCACCTACAAGGCGCACTTTAATTTTATTAATCCGCATTGAAGATCCATTGAAGCCTCGGGACTCTGCACATAAACAAAGTATTACATCCATGCTGCCAATTTTTAATACCAGTTGCAATGGGTGCCTGCAATTTTGGGTTAGAAAAAATTAAAAAATGTTTAGCTCTAGTCTTTCTTAACCAAATATAAAGGCAAAATATACTCATTACGGATTGTAATAACTCAAGGGACAGTAACAGTTAAGTCATTCGCCTTTGCGAAATACGACTTGACCTAATTGCACTATCTTTGATTACTTACTTTTGTTGTTATTTGGAAACTTAAATTGGTATTATTACACTCACTCCGTTAATCAGTTGCTTTGCTTGGTGAAACATAGGTAGATTCAGTGCAGTTATTAAAACTTGTTTGCGTTATCAAGCAAATCACTTTAATTATTGCAGTGTAAGGCAAAGAAATCTGGCGAGAATTCAGTTGCACCACTGCTACTGCCACCATTTTAAAATGCTTCGCGGTCCTGGCGCTGTAAGAAATGTATTTGCCACTTTCGCCCCGTGTTTACGGTCCTACAGAGCCAGTTTTTTCAAATCAAGTGAAGAATATGCAAACAAATTGTGGCTAGGAGCCCGCGTCGTTGCTTTGAGTTGTCGGCATTCGAGTAATCACACTATGGTCGTGAGACAATCGAAATTTGTTAATGAGAAATTTTACGACGAACTTGTAAGTCGATATGATACACAATTCACTCGGATTAAGCACTTCTTCTTTATGTGTGGAGCGATTCCATGTGTCTTAGGGGCCTTTATAATCAACACATTTTTTGGACAAGCAGAACTCATTGAAACTCCTGATGATTATGAGCCTCATTACTGGGAATACTACAAGGTATATTGGAATTTTAATTGACTCCTCCAAGCATCCTATTACGCGCTTTATTTCTCGAAACCTTATGTGGAGTCCTCAACAAGTTTATGAGAACAATCTGGGCTATCTAAAGCGTTCGATGGATTCCATGGATCTTGTGTAATTTGCCTTTTGTAAACGAATTGGACATTAGTTCACATGTACTACAATCTGAGTTTATTTGCTAGTCTATTTTGTTACTGATCTGGTGCATACCGAAGGCGTTTATCTCATTCCGCTATATTTATAACCTCCGAGAAAAAGACCCCCTAGCAAATAGTATTTTGTTTCCTTACTACTGTTTTTACCTACTGAATTTTTTAAATTAGTGCTGAGGAGAAGTGGTTCCAAGAATCCGAACTGGCCTACCGCGATTACCGTGGTTGGCAGTTTATCCCAGTCAATCCGGCCGGCGTACTGCGTGCTCACAAGGAAGAGCTCTTAAATGAGGAAATGGGAGACTGGATCTCGCGATAATGCTTACTCTTCCTCTCCCTTGACAGAATCCGCGCTTGAAGTTTTCTGTCGCTTTGTTCCATTGGTATCTAGCTTAGTTTGTATCCATACATTTCAAGACACCCTGGCACATCAAGTCCTTTCTCCTCCATTCAGCCCTATAATGTATGCCTATCTATCTTAGCACCATGTCTTGTTTCTTCCTTTCCTTACCGGTGATCCAAGCATTGACCAATCAATTGCCCTAGGTTCGTTCACTTTTACAGCACCTGCTAGGGAGGCATGATCATGCAGATCCTCCTATCAAAAGAATAGTTGTTGTGTACCAATCATGTTGTCTTTAATAAGGTTAAACACCTCCAGTCGTGGGACTAGCCAGTTGGGCCGGATGCGTCTGTGATTGTTGCGACTTGATCGTGGTTTACGTATGCCCGTACAGAGCTAAGTCGGTGCGAAGGCGGGAGCTGGTGACAGCTCACCCTGCCAGTATATGCAACTCGTAACGGATGGCTCCTCATCTTCAACAGACGCGTCTAGAGAGCATTAGCTCATGCACTGGGTACCACGACTTGGTACTAATTGCATATGGTCTTGGTGTATTTTAACCCGTTCGATCAAATAACAATTCAAGATCGTTTGATATGACGTCACTTAATGCGTTGATAGCAGCACGGTAACGAAGGTGGCCTGCCAGCTTGCACTAGTAAAGTGTACAAGCTCGGGTTTACATCCTCCGAGTGCTTTCCTTTTTAAGCTTCACAGCAATGGACGCCTGCTGCTTGTTTATCCACAGAAAATTTCCGGCATTTGAGCGTTACGACCTGCATATGGGGTCATTGATGAGGTGTAGCGTGTTCAACATGTTCCTAGACTTAATCTAAGCTGGGCCTTCCACATAGAGGAACTCCTGCATGACGAAGTCAGGGTGGTCACGAAGCTGCATTTTGGTGTCTGTGTTCCTTTGCTTCCACCTGGTGTGAGGAGGTTCATCATTAGGAATGCGCTTGTTTTATAAGGTATTTGAATTTCATCATCACCATCAACATCGTCATCAACGGCGCACAATAAAAGCCAGTTTTAAATCAGGGCGGGTTGACTGAGTGGGCGGGCAGGTGTGAGTGCAGATGCACTTGGGACGCTGAAACACGCTGAGAGTAGGGTCGGGAAGGCGTGCGAAGTCAGATTTTGAAAGAGGAAATAAGACAGAAATGCGAAAAGAATTGGAGGCACGGAAGTACTCTTTCCTGGTACAAGAGAGAGCTGGTGAGTGGAGGGATAACACATCAATAAGTGCACACGCGTGTTTGTTTTACTGGGCATGTGTGTGAAGCCGAAAAGAGAAGAACAATTGGGTAGTTCTACAGGTTTGGAGAGTGGCTGACAGGGGAGGTGAGACGGAAAACTCGTCACAACAACAGCGGTTGGCATCTTCCAGCGGCGCTTTATCATAACCGAGATACAAAATGCAAGAACTACACCTCAGAGCTTCAAGTCCTCCGCCAATTTCTGCGAGATGCGTTTAAACTCTGCTGCGGGACCAGCAAGCCGTTTGAACCTCACTCCATTCATGCCCTCTTTTGGAAGCTTGCAGACCTCCAATTCCAGCCGCAAGATTTCTCCTGAACCAGTAACGTTGGTGACGGGGAGACCCGAGTCTAAGTCCGTCTCAGGGGTAGTGCCTCCGACAACCCAAGTGCAATGAAGGCGATGTGGATGATCAGTCTGACTAAAGGCAACGCCGGACGCCAGTAGGGCGTGTTTTATCTCCGCCATCATCTCATCCAATTGACGACGTGTGTTGCTTTCCATCCGAAAGAGTACCCGCGCGTTTCCTCCGCCAGTGCCGACGGCACCACTCCCGTTACCGCCACCTGACTGAATGGAATGCTCCACAAGGGAGTTGCGAGGTGCGGTGACGCTGGAGGCGGAACGGGCATAGGCGTTGTTGTTGGTCGGTGTTGTGTCACGGGAGGTGCGCTCCACTGTCACCGGTGTGTCGGGAACGAACCCCGAGCGCCTACTCACATGGTGTTGCCCCTGTTGCTGATGCTGTTGATCCACCAAGCTGAAAGCGGGACCAGGTGACTTGGCACGGCAGCTGCTACTGCGTCCGCCAGATACAGTACTGCGGCTTCGAGTGATCCCACTGCTACCACCAGTAGTTAGGCGATGGGAGGACAACTTTGGTGTGGCTACGGGAGTCTGAGCAACCTCCGACGGACTGGTTCCGGGTACGCCTCGCAGACTGCGCAATGTCGAATAGTCCGGCGTCGTCGTGTCATGTTCCCTCTGCTGAGGTGTGGAGGAAGTGCCACCACCATTTCCAAACGGAAGCCTAAAGAGCTTGCTGAAAAAAATAATTTAAAACATGTAAGCTATTATAGGTGAACATTGTATCACTTAATTTATGTAATTGAACCACTCCATCATTTCATTTAAAGGATTCGCCATTAAATTTGAAAGGGTAATATATGATCTATAATAGAGTAAGCTCATACAGACTACTCAACAACATTACATGCTGTATACTAAAGAATTACTGAATATTTTAACAACCTAGAGGATGAATCTACCTATGGACAAAGCGCCACAAGTGTTGCGGCAACTTCAGGTGTTAAAAATCGCACCGAAGTCATTTTACAAAATCGTAATCTGAGTTAGGAGTCATTTCCGTAAGCAGTAGTCCGGTTAGGGAATGAAAAAAGCAGCTACAAGAACCCCTTTATGGACATTCTAAATGCATGTAGGCCAGACGTCTATGGCGTTGGTAAATGAGTTGAATAACCGAGAGGTAAGACTATCCAGTGGTAAAGTGCTTCCATGACAAAAGTTGAGTATGCTGTTAATGAGAGCTCCGCAACACCCTGGGTAAAAGCCGGTTTCTCAGGCAGGCAGACAAGATAGAACAAGGCGGCAGACGCACTGCCAATGCCTTGGTCGAAAAATGGGGATGGGAGGCAGAATGGGGAAGAAAAGAGGGAGAAAGGGAGAGGGTCGCGCAAATCACATTACAGTGCGAGATCACGGAAACCGCAAGCAGCGCGCACATCGAAAAACGTACAGGGAGTTTACCTGAATTGGTCAATTAGAGGGCTACGGAAAACGAGAAGAAAATGATTCACACCACAGTTATGCAAAACTCCTATGGCATAATCTGCAAAAGTTATGCAAAAAACCATAGAGAGTACTCTGTAATCATGTAATGGTCTTGCCTCTCATTTGAAATGCATGATTGGTAGAGCGTAAAATGCTCCAAAAAGCTTACTACAATGTTAGACTAAGAAACGAAAGTATCTATTAAGATACGGATTGAGAATGGAAGGACTCAGATACGCTTTAAGGGTCCAGACCTCAAGGCTCGTACCTGCGCGAAAAACGCATCGACAAGTTGCGCAAGAAACCGCCACCACCGCTACTACTGGTACTGTTCCCGCTTCCGGAGTTTGTAGAAGTTTTCCTGGGCTCTGTCTTAGAGAGGGTGCTGGCGCGAGCTTTGATGACGGTAGGCGTCTCCTGCAGACTGATCGGCGTGCCGTCCCGATTAAAACGCGATCGTGAGAAGGCGGCCAAGGCTCCACCGCCTCCGATGCCAACGGGTTGACGACGTCGAAAGTTTGCTGAGGTAGAGGCGGAGGAGCACTCGTCATCAACGTCCTCGTCAACATCCAACTCTTCTTCTTCTTCCTCATCTTCTTCACCGTCTTCGTCGGCCTCGAAATCATCCACAGAACCAGAGTTGCTTGGAGCCTTGGCTGTTGTTGAGTTGCTCGTGACTGAGATCTCTGAAAGGTCTGAGGGGCTCTGACGTCCCGTCGCTTGAGTCTAAGATACACATATTGCATCAGAAGGTGGGAAGAAGTTTTAAAAATCCTCATTACTTAATATCGGAATCGTACGTGGTGGTGAAATTGCATGAAATTGATAAGTTACCCTTGCTCCCACCAAAGAGACAGAATAACTCCGCATCATCAACCAATGCCAAAGTTCAAATGGGCTACAATAGTCTATCGCTCCTCTTCTGAGAAACACCTTTGCTATGTGCACGCCCTATGAAAGTTATTCTAATATGCAAAGGTTTGTTTTTTCCCATCAAGCAGGTGAATATCCGATTAAAGTATTTGAAAATGATCCGCTTACAATGGAAATTTGGGAGCCACATTTCGTTTTGGACAGCGTCCTACAATTCTCATCAACTTGACTCTCTGGTAAGTGCGACAATGTGCATGTGAAGCTCCTTCAATTCCGTCGTTTCAGAATTCATATTAGTGGCATTTAGACCTTATCCACTAGTGTCTTGACCGGGTGACGCGATTGCCAATGTCACAGACTGCAAATTTACAGCTAAAATGGACGACTTCCAATAGCAGTGATACAATTTTAGTAAACGGCTGTTTCACAATTAATAATTACAGGAACGGGAAGCCATCGTACCCAACTGAGACAGAATTAAACAGGAAATGATAAGTGTTTGGCAACTAAATTATGCCCTGCATTTTGCTATCCATCACAGAAGCATGCCCAACATCAAAGGCACTAGAATACATCGATTTTGTGCTTTTACGTGAGCCTGAGACCAGACAGACTCACTTGAAGTAGGCTTTGGTTGTAGAGATCAGCAAGAGTGGTCTTCTGATCCATGTGGGCGGCGGTGCCAGGATGCCGAACGAGAGGCCGTGACCACTGGTCAGGCCGCTCCAGCGCAAGGCGGTCGCGTGTCTCCGAGGCAGGCACATGCTGAATAGTTGAGCGACCAGGCACGTTGCGACTGAAAGGAACGCTGAAACCCCCGCCGGCCAAACGCTTTGTCTCACCTCCAGCCACCATTGTCACTTCCTGGGTTGGTGAGGCAGATTTTGACCCCGTGTAGCCGGATGAGCCCGTTCCTCCACCAGATTGGTGAAGATGTGAAACGTAGACACCGCCTGTGTTGTAGTACGTGGGAGGATGAGCTTCACCCATCGTCGCTGTTCCTGATAGTGTTGCTGCTGCTGCTGCTGCTCTTATTTCCGCCGCTGCATCCGCAGGCAACCTGTTAATAGCGGTAACCTCAACATTAACGCTTGTCCGTGCATTGTACCTAGTTGGTGGTTGTCAAAGCACTACCGATTTCTATTGGTTTGTCTGCACGTTTCGATCCGATGGGTAGGTCATTTATGAGGAAGTAGTAGTCGATGTATTCAACTGCCTATCCTACCCATGAACGCTTCACGCTAATATTTATGTCTGTCCACTGGTGAGTAACGCCAAGAATAGGTTGTAAAACCATAAAAGCCTCTTGATTTGTGCCTTCCATTAACAATGAAGGTCAAAAGACTTCATTTGATAAGTCGCTCAAGCATGTAGTGCTTCATCTATCGCAAAATGTAAGCAACGGGAAAGTAAATGTATTCAGAACAGTTCAATAAATTGAAAATGTAGACTATTATTTAAATACATTTTATTTATCCGTATTAACCTCGAAAGCTTGGACCCAAGAGCCATTTGTAATCTCAACAAGTAGACACAACATTTTATTTCCTTTTTTTCTTTTCCATTTTCCTGTTTTTTTGTGCTTCATATAGCGACAAAGTAAGGAAAAGCAACCCATTCTCTATAAGCCACAGTTAGGTAAATTTGCTGCAATGGAATTAATTGTGGTTCTTTTCGCTCATCACAAAAAATAGTCGTAAAGACATATCATACTCTCATAAACTATTGCAACTCCTACTTATTTATAAATGAAGCTACGTTTAAAAGTAATGGAATCCGACTTCAAAAAGATTTTGACCACCCTGCAATTACGCCTTAAAAAACTCGCTATCTTGATCTCATACTGAATGAATGCATAACATAAGAACGCCTTACCGGAGAGACCGGTATCCAAGTGCAGGGTGATTTCTCGAAAACTGAGACTGACTCGTGTTGCTGCTAATTCCTGTCACATTGGTGGTGTTCTGTAATTGAGACTCGAGTGCCACGGGGTTGATAAGTTCGTAGGGTTGCGCCCTAGTCGTCGTAACAATTGTCGAAGGATTAGCCGTCGCATCGTCGCGCTTTGACACACGGCCACCCAACGATGTCTCCGCTCCTGCCACCGCAGCGTCGGAGGCTCGCGGAGCCAAAATCGGCACGTTGAAGTCATCTTCGGTGCCAGTAACTACAACAATGTAATCATGTTTTTACTTACTGCAAATGAGTAACATGATGTTGCTAAAAAAACTCACGGATAGTTCGGTGAGTGTAGGACGGGCGCTTGGAGGCAGCCGAGACACCTCTGTATTAGGGAAGAAAGCAAATGAATGAAAATGAAAAGTGGGATAATTCTCCCTTGCACCAAGTCTACATACCGGCCTGATGTCTGAGTTGAAGTGACGCTGGGACGAGAGGTTGTATGACCATTTCTCGAATCTTAAAGCAAAACCATAAGAACATTTGAAACAGGCTCTTTCCGTTTCTTCTCGGCAGAAAACGGGCAGCAACAAACCTTGGAAGGTGCCTACAGCGGGATTGGCAAGACCGGGAGAATTGCCAGAGGCAGACAAAGTCACAAACTGGTTTCGCAGTTGTTTGGATATGGAGGACGACTCGGGAGGGGGTGGAGAGGGAATGGGAGAAGCGGTGGTGTTGGTTATTGGTTGTTGGGACTCCGGTCGCGTTTGCTGACGCTTCAGAGTTCCTGTAGTGGAGGCAGTGGTACCTGTAGAGGTGGCCATTGTCAAGTTAGACGGGGAAGAGACATTTGTCACGTCGTCATTATCCGTTGTCGCCAGAGGTGCATTTGCAATACTCGCATCCCCTTCTGCATTATCTGTGGTCGAGACTAAGGTCACCTTGCTGTGACCCCCTCCTATGGGCCGGCGATAATGAAGAGGTTATTGCCTTAATGAGTAAGCAAGGCAGAGGTTGAAGGATAACTACCTGTGGTGGGTGTACCGGAAATACTTGTTTTTCTATGTCCATCAGAGGTGTAGTTGTTGTTGATCTCAGCGTTGGAGTGCTTGCGGCTGGTGGCATCGGCTGCTGAACTGGGATTGTGGAAGGGACGACGGAAGGAGGCGGCGGCGGTAGAAGTTGTAGTTGAGGTAAGCTGACGAGCCTGTGAGGTTGGTTGTCTACTGCTCCCTGCAGTTGTCGAAGACGAAACACTTCCATCGGACGTTGGCATATCCGATGGGAGATTTCGGGGTTGCATGACTCCAGACAGGGTGGGAGGCCAAGGCAGCGACTTTCGCTTTCGTTGGCCCAATAAAATGTACGTAGCGGTGATGTTGTTGAACCGCTGTTTCGTCAACGAGTCGTGAATGTCACTCCGCGAGAAACCCATCTGTACCATCCATTCTATTATTTCAAGAAAGAAGAGTAAAGTAATTCTCCTTCTGTAGAGTGTTGTAAAACATTGTTTGCTTGATAAGAGGTGTTCTCTTAGTCTTAAAAATTATGATTTTTCTATTACATATGGGAAACAACCGCCTGGACACCATTTGGTTAGACTTTCTTCTTGTGGAAGGGAGCTAGACCAGATCCACCAAAAAGCACGTCCATATCACGATAAAGCGGGATTCTTGACTTGCGTGAGAGAAGGATGGGAAGGAGGTCTGCCAAAGAGAGAGGAGGAAAATTACTCACGTATTCTCTCCGGATCATTGTAATTGGGGAGATCCTCCTTGAAGGGCTGCAGAATGTTGTCCTCGAAAGTTGTGTTTAACCACTTATCCTTCATAATTTCCTGGAAAGCAGTGCGGTGCATGTGAGAACAAAATTCAAGAATTTATTGACGTCAACGCATGCAGGAGAATTCACAAACACTTGCACTCTCAAAGGACACAGAGGGGTGCTTCATCAGCTTAACCAGGAGCCACCAACGCACATGGTCAGATATTAAGAGGGGGCCAACTAAAATTGTCAATGGAACCGTCTGATCAAGAAACATCTCATTTCAGTACAAAAAGGGAAGAAGGGGAGACAAGCTGTGTGAACTGAAGCTATCAAAGTCAAATTTAAGCTATTTTGAATGATAACTTCCTTTCTACACATAAAATGATCCTGAAGTGGCATCGAAGTGTATGGTAGATCACTTAGAACATAGAATGAAGTTACATGTTCCCAATCGTTTATCAACACTGAGAACCATGCTCCCCCTACTAGCGGAAATACAACCCGGTTTTGGGTCTAAGATGAAAATGGGAGATGGCAACAAGTTTCTGCATGAGGGGAAGGGAAGGACTCACTAGCAGAGAGGCGCGTTTGGTTGGATTGAGGACAAGCATCTTCCTGAGTAGCATCTCGCATTCGTGCGACATGTAGAAGGGCACACGATAGGAGCCTCGGAGCACACACTCCCGCAATTCCTGTAAGGAATACACACCTTAGTAGTGCACTTTTCAAGCATAGACTTTCTCCTGCCAAATTGAGCATAAGACATTCTTTTTTTTTTGAAGTTTGGACATTGAAAGAAAGATCAGGATGGTTTTGTAACTAGGCCTAATAAATTGTCGAAATGTGTTTAGTTGGTTCGTGTTCAATCCAAAATGGTGTTTCAAGGGCATTTAGTAGTGAAAGTAGTCGGCCAATGCATTTCAGTTGTTGTGTTGACTATTGGGCCTTAATCAGAAGGAACACAAACGAGGATGGTGGACACACCGGTGAGGCAGTGGCAACCGAAGCCAACTAGTGTCTAGCACGCATCGAGGGTAGCATCCACCGTTACTATGGTTGCACACTGGACAGGATACCAATCAAATGTCAGTTTGAAGGTCAGTTCGTTACTTTTCCTTTTGCCTGGTCCCAGTGGAAGGACAAATAAATGAGGTGTTCCACAGTGTGAAAAGCCAGTAGAAGACGCACACGCAATATTTTTACGCAAAGTCAACAAGGCTTCAAAATGTTAATGCATAAGCTAGCTATTTACAGCACAAGTATTTTGCCATTGCAACATACTTGTTGGTTCGTATTCCTCAAAATTAGGCAGACAAAAGTTGACCATTGCTTTTACAATCATACAGGCAGCAGCTTGTGCGGCCGAGATCACACGTCTGACTTCACGTGGGCGCAAGCAAAGACGACAAATTGCGTGTTTACAATTGATATTCATCTCGTACAGTTTGAGGTACGGAAAAGGCAAGAGGAGGAACCAGCCAATCTCGGAGGCAAGAAGCCAATTAGATTAATTGACACTCCCGCAACGGTGGAGACATAAAGGCGCCCCCTCAGGACGGCAGCATTCGCAGTGGTGTGATTTTTTTGCAAAGCAAAAGCGCGTATGACATCCAAGTGTTCGTCAGTGACTGTTCTACTTCCTTTTAGAAAGTCAGAGCTGCATGTCACACTAATGGTTACACAGGAGTAAAAATACCCAAACAATGACACGCTGGTGATTCATCCAAGTTGGCACTGGGGGTGGACCAATAAATTCATCGACGCACAAAATTAAGACCATCAAGAAATAAAGGGAGGTCGATGAGCATTGAATTCAAATGAACGCACGTCAAAGCCGGTGCTGGAAGCACATAGTGGGACACTTCATCACCATGGCATGGTTTTCATCACACGACGGAGGACAAGCAATTACACGTAAATTCAAGGCAAGTGAAGGGGTACGCACTAGTATTCCCCTGGGTGTAACTTTACTAAGGCAAACAGCCTGAGATTGTGATCACGACCACAGGGCGAAAAGCACATACCCAGCTACTCCGGCCAATTGTCTTAGGGAAGCCCAAACAACAGGTGGCAAAGGCGAACACCCTAGGGTCTGACTGTCAAGCTCCTCGTCTTGTCCGCCCATTTCCCTCCCCTGGGAGTGCATTGCATACGTAAGCGCGCCTGTGCGTGGGTGTGTGTGCATGCGTCATCGCGAGGCGCGGTTGGCGCTCGCCTAGGATAAGGCAGAATGAGGCAGTGGACAAAAAAGTGAGGCATGCATACGACAACGCCCTCTATTACAGCGGACACGACGACGACGACGACGGCGACAACGACAGCAACCACTATCACCATAAGAGAGAACCAAGACTCCACAATTTTAGTAGTGGTGACGCAAGCATACCAAAAGGAAGTCAACTCCATCGACTCGAGGGCAGACTAATTTTCGCAACATTTCTCATGGACGGTCCAACTAACCAGTTGGGTCCATAGCGAGTTTGGTACATACTTGAAACGACTTCAAACCGTGGATTTCATGAGGAAATCTTTGAGCCAGATTGGTTAAATAGTCAGTGATAGAAAATAATCGACAACCTAAGGGATACAAATGACGAATAACAAATGTTCTTTCAAACAAAACACGGAATTTAGTTATAACGAATGAAAAAAAACACAACTCTTGGCCTTGTCTACTCTCAGAAGCCGGTTCCTTTTTGGCGAAACCAACTAAAGGTCGAGAGGAACCTATTTCTAATGACCCTATCAACAGACTGCGTAGAAACAGGAGGGTATACGGAGGTTTTGAAGGAGTTACGAAAATCGAACTCCGTTTTAATTGTACAGCTTACATCGGTCGAACAAGAAACATCATTTACAAAGAAGGACAATATTGGTAATGGCATGGAAAACAGCGCAACATTCTAATGCATTACAGGTATGATAAAAAAAATGCACAGTATAGTGCTTTGGGAAATTAGACACCACAAGGTGGGGAAAGCGAGGCCTTTCGTAGGTGCAAGTAGAAATGTGAGCAAGACTGACAACGGGGAACTACTTGATGTTTATTTGTGCTAGTGGTTCATTTGGCTTTCCAAGTTCATACACCTTACAATGCCTTCGGAAATAATTTTGGTCCTACAGCAATTAAGCTTGCCGCGAGGAATCAAAATTTGCTGCATCGACTACGGGGATGAGTACCAACCTTGAGATTTTTGCCATCAAAAGGGAGTGAGCCAGAGACGAGGGTGTAGAGGATAACTCCAAGAGACCAGACATCCACCTCTGGACCGTCGTATTTGCGGCCAAGGAAGAGTTCCGGCGCTGCGTATGGCGGAGACCCGCAGAAAGTGTCCAACTTCCGACCAGCTGAGTAGTTGTTGGAAAAGCCAAAGTCTGCTATCTTCAGGTTCATCGACTCGTCCAACAACAAGTTCTCGGCCTGAAATGCAAGATAAAGATGAGGTGTTTGAGGAACAGACCTCACACAGTCGCTGTTCCATTTGCCTTGGCCCATTTGGAACATGATGATCTTTATTTTGCTATAAACAAATGGATTGGGAATTGCGCTACTGATTCAATCATCGTGAACAAAATAAGCATCGTAAGCTTTGCAATCTTACCCTTCATTGCACCATTTCGAAGGCGAGCAAAATAGGACCGCAAGATGTTGTAAGAGCAGACTATTGTAATACGCTAATTAAAGAAACCTAGGAGACTGAGTAGGTTTTTGCGCTAGAGTAAATGTGAGACAAGCATCGCATGTCCTCGTGTCGAAATGATAAATTTAGCAAGCCTGTTCAAAGTGGTGGCGAATCAACGATTGCACACAAGGTACATATACGCCGAGGGTCAATGCTTCCGACCCAGTTCAGCACGATACGGATAGCAGGGAAAGGGAAAGGAAATTACCTTGAGATCACGATGCACAATGTTCTTAGCATGGCAGTATTGGACAGCAGAAACGATCTGACGAAATTTTATCCGTGCATCCTTCTCCTTCATTTTTCCGTGGGTTACGAGGTAGTCGAACACCTCCCCTGCAAGCAAAACAGGAGAAAAGAGATTACAATAAGTAGCACCTACACTCCTGTAAGGGGCCTTGCATTTAGATCCCTGTGATCTGACAACCACAACACCTTAGAGTTGCTCTATTCATTTCACTTGTGTCAACGACAAGCACCTTCGATGGGTGCACCTCATAACAACTTCGAAGACGACTCTGCTTTGTGCGCCTTTGACGAATTCAATCCCCAGCCATTAACTCATTAAATAATGCTCTACACCATTATATATGCCATTCACTGCAACCACTTACGTGTACTACGGTAGAAAATTAATCACAGTTAGTGTGGCTGCCTATTTTGTCGCGCTCAACAGTCACACACGTGGGCGACAGCCGAACTCAGCGCCTGGCAAGAAGGACGTGATCTCACAAATTCCCAGAAATTGTTGGCTGTCAATTTTGGCAACATCTCAAAATCCCATAACAATTTGTAATAATAACGAAAAATATACAACATATGACGAATTCTAAGAAAATAATTAATCCGGTTAACACAAACGGTACCACCTAATAAAGCATCAGAATAGCGGCAAATAGTCAAACGCATTGCTTTCCAATTCGCACCAATGGTGGTTCACACCCATACCATTCGTTCCACAACTTTTAGCATGCCAAAACGCTAGCGCAGTGCTTTTGACCTACCATTAATTCTCTGCGTTCCTTCCTCGCCAATGTGCCTATGCAAAACCACCCACCGAAATTGCCTTGGAAATTGCGTCAGACAGAACTGTGATTTATGTGAATTGGACGAGGTGCACAAAAAATCTCGCCTCTTTTGATAAGTAAAGACTGATAGGAGTAGCAATCACAACATGTTTTGTCTAAAATGTATGACCTTTAGGAGTCTGCACAGTGTCCATGTGGGTGGATGTTATTAAAGTCACGAAATACACAAACACGCCGAATCATAACACAGCAAGAGGAGCAGGTGAGGGGAAAAAGAAATCTGATTTGCGTTCCCACTACGCCGAAAAGAGGTCTCATTGTGAAGGAAATCATCGGTAATCTAATTTACGTAGCAGTGAGAAGCTCTACGCGTCGAACAAGATTGTTTTGGCGAGAGAGGAAATCCACAGAGCCTGCATTGCCAAAAAAGAGAGGTTAACAGTCAGTATCAACCGTCACGTGAATTAGGCAGTGAATGCTTCAACAAAAGCACAAAATCGCTACCTCACTCACGTGGGCGGTGGGCTTTAAAGCGAAATTTCTGCACAACGTATGACGCCAATCTTGGATACGAAAGTGGCAAATGCTTTGTCCCCTTCCAAAAAAGAATAAGTTTCCCGTTTCAAAGGAGACGTACAGATGGGAGAACAATCGCAAGTAGGGAGCGTGGAGCAAATGTATAGCGAAGTTGAAATGCTATTCAAAAGGAGAATGAGAAAAGCAAAATCAAAGGCTTCCTTCGAATACAGAAATAGAGTCAACAAGGCGGCAACTCTGCGTGTCTGTGTGTACGCGCATGTTAGGTTCAAGGGCACATCAGGACAAATAAGAAAAGAAAAAGTAGAGACACAAATGGCGCATTTAAGGTCAGCAACGATGCCACTGTTGAAGATGATGTCGACGGTGACCTCAACTGACGCATTATGGTGGAAAACGCTGTGATAGGATTACTATCCAAAGTCCAAACGACTAAGTCTAATTAAAGCAGAAGTCAGGCGGATAAGCGGGTACATTATGAACCACTTATTACCCACTGAGCCCCAGTAGAAGTAGGAGTTGAAACCGGCGGAAAAGGGAGTGGATAGAGGTCATATGCACAAGTGCAGCATAAGGCTGATCTGCCGGCCTGTCTGGGACAGCCTAACAAAATCACTGGAAGACCATGACAATGTGTAAGATAAGTTTGGCATCAAGAGATCAATCGATTAGAAGTAAGTACTTGTTTACATTATGCATACACACACACACACACAAAAACATCGCAAAACTGGAATTTCACTTAACCGACAAGTGTGTGAACGTTGGCCCAATTTTATGGAACGCAGGTGTGAAAGTGGTGAGAGCTGTTGGTGCGAATGCAATACGAGGAAATTGCCATCAACCTCACATAAAACATGAAATGGCAGAAGTGCGATTTTACCGACTACCAAGGCCTACCTCCCTGCGTTTAGTGTCAGTGGTCTGTAACGACGGGGAGGATTCTGCTATGCGAGCTCGCTAATGAGAGTCTTGCCTATCATTCCTTTCGGTTCATCGAATCAATGAGCACCAGAGAACGAAGTGTGAGATGCAAATGAAGTCATGGATATTGGGAGGACTGTGGTGAGTGAATAATAAAGAGCAAAGATCCACCAAAAATATGCCTGACAAGATTGAATTGGGCAGCGGTTGCAGTTCAACGTCACCCAAGGTAAGTGCCGAACGGAAAGTGCCACAAATGCTGCATCGGCTAAAGTTGAATATGAACGGCGGGAAGGATCAGACATAAACTTATCTAAAAATTCACGTAAGAATAAATATGTACATACATTTATGCACACAGAACTAAATTCCAAGTTATATAGAATGTTGAGAAAGTAGTAGTGGCAGTAGTAGTAGCAAGGTAGTAGACTTTATGCAGCAACTAAAAAAACGCTGGGCGAGGTCAAGTAGCCAGAACTACTTTTGGATATCTGTGTACTCGACCAGCACCTGATTGCTG